TTCGTGACAGTATTAGTAGATTTGAACTTTCAATAAATTACATTTTGTATAAACTTGTATCTGTTGTATCACTGTATCGTCTGTATGAAGAAAAATTGATAATTTACAAATGTAGTAGTAAATATATAGAAAACATCAAAACTGCTTGTCTAAGATCTTGGTTAGGTTTCCGCAGTGACATGATGGGATCTTGGTTAGGTTTCCGCAGTGACATGATGGTGTTATACACATGGTTACTTTAAACAAAATTATTGTGGGAAATAGCTGGGAATGCAAATACACTTTACAGTTTACATGCTTGTAATCCCCAGGGTTCGAAATAGCTGCCGGCGATATCCGGCAGTTTTAGGACCTTGCCGGCGATTTTTAATTTCAAAGCATAGGGGATAGGTGGAAATATTTATTCACCGATGACTCGCTTACGATAACACGTATATATACACAGAACTTGTTAATGTTTGTTCCTACACCAAATAAATGTATTGCTGCATTCTTACAAATGTTGTGTTGGTTTACATCACTATTATCTGGCCTAAACTTTGCTTGGAAAACAGCCGGCAAAAATGTTCACCTACAAAAAACAGCCTACAAAATTTGACATATTTTCAGAACGTTATTTCGAACCCTTTTCCCCCCAGTTGATTAGCAAAACTGTACATGGCGATTGACTCTCTGAATGCCAGCAGCCTTCCCCTTGACAAGGTCTGGTGTTGGAGTGAAATAATAAAGTAGGGTGCATTAGGGCACAAAATTGCAAATTATTGGTTAAGCTGTATTTCGACTTACAAGAAAAGTGTAGCTGTTGAAATTTTTCGCTCAATTTAATTTGAATTGTGAGAGTTCAAGTGGAACTGATTCATTTGGCTGATCACAATTCCAAAGAAGTCAAGCGAAATATTTTGACAACAAGCAGCTTATTCTGATATAGGGAGAAAAACCAAGTAAGAAGAAGAAGAAGAAAAAAAAGAAACAAGTTGAAAGTATTGAAAAGGAAGAACATGTAGAAACTGAACACAATGATTCAGGTCAAACCATTGAAACTAGAGATTTGAATTCTGGTAAAATATGTAGTTTCATCTATCCACTAACTTAGATGGTATTGCTCACCCATTGTTGACATTGACCACTGCCAGACATTTTCCAGCACTGGATATTCATATTGTTGAGATGATTTTATTTATAAATCGGTGATATTTAGATTTAGATGATGTCGAAAACGAATGGACTTATCTTGGTATTCATGCTATGATTGGAAAACGTCTGCTAGACTTGGGTTTCAAAGATCCCACAACAATACAAAAAGAGGCCATACCTCCAGCAGTACAGAGCAGAATGGACATCATTGGTGCTGCTGAGACTGTAAGTATTTTCCCAGGTTGTATAGATTGTACCTCAGCAGTAGGCATAGAGCAATACACAGCAGTAGGAAGTAAGTGCCAGGGTAAAATCACAAAGTATGTAGGTGCATTTGGGTGCATTGCCACTCAAAGTGATATTAAAAGATTCATGGTTTCTGACTGGCTAACAGCCAAGTGTGAAATATGGAGTTTTGACATAATAATATTCAACAGAGTGATGTCGTAATGTTGATATGAAAAAGTCATATTCAACGTTATGACGTCATGCTGTGGAAATACAACTGTGAAATGTGGAAACATGACCAAAACTATATAGAGCTACCTTCGGCCGTGTTTGCAAGTTTAAAGGAAACAACTTTTAAAATATAAATATGAGTAATTTGTGATGTTAATTGAAGACAGCAATATCTGTAATTCGAAAATTAAATGCTAAAAGTTGGTTTAATTTAATGTAATAGGGTTCTGGAAAGACTCTGGCTTATGGACTGCCAGTATTGCAGAGAATACTAGAAACAAAATTGAAGCAAAAAGATTCGAACAAGAATCCATCAAAAGAAGATCAAGGAGTGCTTGTACTTATCCTTGCTCCAACAAGAGAACTGGCAATACAGGTGCACAAGAATCTTCAAGATGTGGCAAAGGCTGTGTCAGTTAAAGTATGTATTGCACACTATTGGGACTGCAAATTTATGTTGTCAATAGATGGTACTGTTTATTCCATTCTTGCCCCCAATGGCCTCATTTTCATGTGATTATTTTCTCATGTTTTGTGCGCAATGGGGCCAAAGCGAAACATGGAGATATAACCTTCATGTGCACCTGCCATGCTAAAACAGGCAAATATGGAAACAAGGCTATTAAGGCCTATTTCCACCCAAGAAAAATTTTCACAGACAGAAAATATCATTATCTAAAGTTGAAAATTTTCAACTTCCAAATTTTTTTCCGACAGAAAATTTCTGTCAGCCAATCATTTTTTACAAAATTTTCTTTCTGAGGAAAATTTTCCTGAGTGGAAATGTGTCTTTAGGGCAAAAGTGCAATAAACTGTGGAGTTTATTAATTTAATGAACATTTAAAACTTCACCCTCCTGAATAATCTACATGCATTCCTCTGTCAAATGAATCTGCATGCATACATACATAATTAGTTTGTGTAACTTTTGTTTTAGGCAGCATGTATAGTTGGTGGGATGTCTGAAGAGAAGCAGCAACGAGTACTCAAGGGATCACCTGAGGTCGTTGTGGGAACCCCGGGTCGTCTGTGGCATCTAATTGAACAGGTTTGCATTATCTTTCTCCAGGACATAAAATACCGTAATAATATAAATATTGTCATTTTATATAGGTACATAATTCAATTATTACTTTAGTACAAACTATAAAATGGAAATCACAAGGGTCCGAAAGTTATATTTTGCACTTGGCCTCGATGCAAGTGACCGTACCAAAAGTTGAGTGTACTCTAAACGGATTTGAAACTATATTGAGGAAGTAAAATTTGAAGATATTGAGGAAGTAAAAGTTGAAGACTGAAATAAATATTTTTTATTTGTGCAGGGTGAACAACATTTATCAAATATAAACAACTTACAATCATTGGTTATTGATGAAGCAGACAGAATGATCCAGGAAGGACATTATCAAGAACTGTCTTACCTAATGGACAAGGTTAATAACAGTTGTGAGTACTGTAAATAAATACTAATAATCATAATGACTTCATTTATCAAGCAAGGCAAGCATTGCCCACAGCTTACTCTGCGGTCATTTGTAAATAACGCTTGGAAGTGCTTAATACGTAACACAATTTTCAGTCCATCAAAAATATTAGGTTACTCGATGCAATGTGGGATATGTGTGGATCAAATAGGTGGGTTTCACTCAAGACGTATACAATAGGGAAACGCTTGGTGTTCAACTTTACACATATTGCCGCTTTATGCCTTGTGGAAGCACTATAAAATAATTATCCGACAATGAAAACATAAACTTAAAGATGCCCAGCTTTTTGTGGCAAGGCAACTCGCCCAATCGGGCAAGCAAGATAAAACGTTTACTTGCCCATCATGATATTCACTTGCCTATTCACTTGCCCCGGGCAAGTGTTAAGTTACACCTCTGTTTGTTAGAGTGCACCCACAGCCCAACTTCATGAATTTATTTTGAAATCTTGTTATTTCAGCAGAAAAGATGTTGTCGAAGTTACAGAAATTTGTGTTTTCTGCCACATTAACCTATTCTTCAACGTCCAAAAAGAATAAAATGGACAACTTTGGTAAAGTATCATTGCAGCTAACTTCATTAGTCATTATCGTCCTGTATATTGCAATGAAACCACAGCACGTTGAGTGTGAAAAATTATTTTAATTAAATATTTTCCTATTAGACACGTTGTTGAAAAAGATTGGTTTACGTGAGAAATCAAAAGTCATCGACCTGACACGAAAAGGTCTGACAGTCGAGAGTTTAACTGAATCTAAACTCATGTGTTCTGTTCAGGATAAGGTGAGCTCAGAGTTGATAGAGTAAGGAGGTTAGGAAACTCGATACAGTCATAATATACCTTGTGTCTTGGTTTATCCAAGAAATGATAATAATAATGAATTTTGTCTATATCACAATGGTCTGTAGCCTTCACTCAGAATGTGCCAGTCACCTTTTCACTTTTTTCTTCTAAGTGGGCAAGGTTGTTTATATTGATTCTTAGTAATCATGTTTTCGTTCCCTGCTCTGGTTTATATAAATGAATACAAAGCCCAGTTGAAAACCTTTGCATTTTTGTTAACATCTAGGCAACTTTATTTTTCAAATATTTTTTACAAGCTTGACCCCCAGTCTTAGGGACCCAGGCCGTTTTCCCTCGACGATGCTGTAGTTCCCTCAGTGATCATTCAGCCTGCCTCGTTGAACTCGTGCCGCTCTATGGCCATCTCCCTCTTAGCACTCATGCAGATCTATTTCAAGCACTTTTTCTGTTTATATTACAGGACGTATATCTGTACTATTTCCTGAAGAAATATCCGAAGCGAACTCTTGTGTTTGTAAATACTATCGATACTTTACGTCGTCTCTTGTCAATACTCAATCTCCTTAAACTGTCGCCACTAGCGTTGCATGCTGGGATACAACAGCGGCAAAGATTAAAGAATCTTGATCGGTTAGTATGTAATTGTCTTTGTGTGTTACAATTTTTCCTGTAGAACTTTCCAGAATTATGGACAACATGATAGAGTCCCGAGCTCTGAGAAAAATTTAAAATTGTGTGGACCCTGTAGACGACCCTCGCTAAAGTTTAATCCCATATTGAGTCCTAAATGTGGACCCTATCGCAAAAGTTCGCGCTTCATCTCAAACTGAGACTCCTGGAACAAACTTGTATCAGGCCTTTTGTAGATTTAAAAAGCTGGGTGACTTTATGCGCTTAAAATATAACAATTCAAGATGGATTTTTACGCGCTTTATTCATATAGATTCAAGTCACGCGATGATGGTTTGCTTTTGGCCTCGGATGTGGCTGCGCGGGGACTGGATATAGAAGGAGTGCAACACGTGATTCACTATCAAATACCAAAGAATGCGGAGGTACTACATCGTATGAGAAAATCACTTGCAAGAGCTGAATATCACTAACTACTCTTTTGAACACCCACTTACTATTACAGATAGTTACAAGCCAAACAACAATTTAAAATAGAAATTCTGTTATTTAAGGTTTATGTTCACCGCAGTGGGAGAACAGCCAGAATTCAAAACGAAGGCCTGAGCCTGCTACTTATTAGTCCAGATGACCTGCGGTCGTATGATAAAATCTGGAAAAGTCTGAAAAAAGGTTAGTAATTGTTTTTGCCTTTCACAAGTTTTTGTACCGACCTTTGCATATGTATAGAATATGCATGTGGCTTCGTTTGTTTGTTAGGGGCTGGATAAAGCTGTTATCACACCTTTGATAATCATTCAAAATGACATTTCAAAGTTGAATAAGCTTAGTTTGATTCCTGTCCCAGGCACTTTGATGTGCTAAGCGGTTGCGTGGCACATGCGCGGGAATTGAGGTGCCCCGCGCGCGCGTCACGCAGCATCAAAACGCCTGGGTACGAGGCTGTAAAGTTCATTCAAACGAATCTTTTGTGGTCAGGAAAAGTTTTTGTGACACGATTCAAACGGGCTGACTCATATGAACAGGCCCTACTAAGGTTTGCATTAACCTTAAATTTCACAACCAAATTTTGTGTTATTTCTATAGACGATGAACCCCCAGACTTTCCTGTGGACATGGAATATTTAAACGAAATACGAAAACGAGTATCTTTGGCAAGAATTATTGATAAAGAGGAACATAAGTACGTTTAAAAAGTTTCAAGTACCCCCAACCAAACAGCGCGAGGCTTTTGGATCAGATTAAGACCTGCCAAACGCTTTTGACAATTTACATGAAAATAGAAAAGGTTTTATCTGCTGCAAGTTTCGTACAAAAAACTTGAAAGTCTCCGATTTTGAAAACAAAATTCAAAACCTTAAAAGACCTTGAATTTATAAAGAGTGCTTGAAAATCATTGGATTCTTTTTTCTTTAGTTTTTAGATATTTTCTGAAATTCGTTTAACATTAAAAAAACATTGGCGTTCTTCAAATAATATACAAGAGCCTCTGCATCGATTTTATTTCAGATTTCGTAAAAAGAAATGGAGCAATGATTGGTTTTTGAACAACGCCAAGGAAGCTGAATTAGAAGTTGACGAAGATTTGTATCCTTGAATGATCAAATGTGTTTCAACAAATTGTTCAAATAAATATATGAGACGAAATGAGGCTGACGACGAGGTTTTTGGACCCATGCAAATTTTTTATCGGGAAAAATTGGGGGGAAAAGACTTTTTATCAGAGAAAACGTTTTTAAACGTTCTCTCTGATAAAAAGTCTTTTTTCCCCAATTTTTCCCGATAAAAATTTGCATGGGTCCAAAAACCTCATCGTTGACCTCATTTCGTCATAGATTTATTTGGCCAATTTGTTGAAACACATTTGATATTAAAATAGATTGTACTGTTTATTGCACTTATGCCCCAATGGCCTCGTTTTCATGTGGTTATTTCCTCGTGTTTTGTGCACGGTTAGTTTAAGGACAAGCTTAGCTTGTGATTGGGCTGAAGATCAGAGAGAGTACATATTCATGCATGAAACATGGGGATATAACCTTCATGTGCACAACAGGCAAACTTGTGATAAACAGGCAAACATGGAAACGAAGCGATTAGCCCAAAAGTGCTTGCAATAAACAGTAATAATGGACAAAGTGAAGGAAGGCTTTCCATATATAGTTATCTAATCTCATGGTCGTAGCCTTGCATTGCACTGTTCGTCCTTACTTGTCAAAATTGTAACGAACATTTATCTTAACTTTGTGGCCAGATTGGAAGATTTAGGAGATTCACGTGAACAGCAAGTCAGAAAAGACAAATTATCTGCGAAGAAAGGTATAGAGTCCTGTATGAGAGCAGTCCTTGACAATGATTCGGTTTCTTCTTTTCTTTATTTGATCCAACTTTTTCAATTTTCAGCGGAGCTCAACACGCTCCTTGACGTACCACTGGCGTCTTCAGGATTTGTTGGAAAATATCCAACAAAAAAAGGGAAATTACAGACTGCTGGATTACAATGTGAGTTTTAAGATTTGGATCCTCTCAGAATTCTGGAAATATTGCCTTATATTATGGTTTATTATTAAATTCCAGATACCTCAGATGTGATAGAAAATGCAGACACATCAGGACATAAAGCAGTAAAAGAGATAACAAAGAAAAAGAGACAGAAAAAGACAAAAAACAAGAGATAATTAAGAAGTCTTGTAAAAAATAAAGATTTTCATTTGTAACAACAAAGTTATAAAATTGCACAAGTTAGGTATATAGTGATGTAAAAATAATTTTAGCTATGATATAGTGTTGCGATCTAAGCAGCGGAACATAAAAGTCATATTTTTTTTAAGAGTTGCTTGTTCTGAATGAATATTTATTAGCTCATATTCAAATTACGATTTCAGCCTGGTGAATGTAAAAGGTGGAATGCCCGTGCGGAGTGGCATGCGAACACAAATTTCAAGACATCTTCTAATATTACTAAAGGGACTTCGTCTGGCTTGGTAGCCTCCTTTCGAGTTAGAGGCCCTGGGCAAAATGCCCGCCCCCCCCCCCCTGACCCAAATCTTCCCCTTGACCCAAATCTAAACCATAAGGCCCATTTAAGACGGCGTACTTTAAATAGCACAAATTAAAGCAAAATTAAAGAAATGTTTAGTTCTCAAGTGTAACATGGCATTTAAATCAGTCATTTATTTTCTCATCGAGTCTAAAATGTAGCTTGGCAAGCGAATATTCCAACATTATATGATTTACCCTGTGGTTCCAGAGGCTTCAACGACTTGCTGATAGCTAGGTTTCTCTGTAGTAATTTAAATAAATCACACGAGTTTGACTGACAAAGGCAGACAAAATAGTTCAGTTAATAAATAAACACGGATTTAACAATAGGCTTTACAATGTCTTTTGAAATAATCAAATTCTACAGCCAACTTGTAAACAAATTTTAATTTAACTTATGAATTTATAAATAAGTTAAACATTCCTAGGATCGTATATTTAATCCCCAAGGGAGTTCTACCAATAGATGCTTTTATCACTAGCCAATCATAACAAAGCTTTTCTAAACTAAACCAATCAGAGGTCATTAAAATCTGACCAATAGGAAACAAGGGTGTGGATATGCAAATTTGAAAATTTCTGCTCGGAGCTTCGGGGCGTCATTTTGACTTGGAGTTTAGCGGCGAAATACAAAATAAAGTCAATCAGAATTTCGCTTAGATAAAACATTTTCGATGAAAAATGGTTATGTTATGCAGAGAGAAAGGTTAGTATTAAATTTAGCTATCTTTTAAACGTTTATGAGCTGTTCTTGTTAAGTTATAGTTGTTGTTTGAAACGCATGCTATAAAATCATTGAATCGACTTCTCTTCTCGTTCAAGCGCATCGTTCTCGCCTAGTCGCTTCATTCCCTTAGTATTCCTCCCACATTTTCTCATAATAATGTTCAGAAATACCCCTGCTGTGATTTGTTTAACTTATATTTGTTTTATCTGCAGTTTCAGGGCAAAAATTTGACGAGAAAAGCTGAAAGTTGACTGATTGAAGTCGCCGACCGGTCGAAGGCCTCGAAGCACGCGGTAAGCATAATGTCCAATTGAAAGCTAAATTAAGCTTCTCTTGTACAACTTCAACGTATTGTAGCATTGCTGAAGCTTTATGAACACTTTGAGTTTATTTTAGCTTAAATTTTGTTCAAAATTTGATCTGAGCGAAATGCCGAATCACATGTTCAATCTGAGGCATGCATAGTTTCTTGTTTGTGGTTCGCTTTTTTAAAAGCTTAAAAGTTTTCCTTACCCAACACTGAACATCTCGTAACATTGTTCAAGCTTTCTACGCATTTCGAATTAGGTTTAGTTTAATTTTGGTTAAAATTTTGTCCGAAATGCCGAACCCGTTTTTGTTTATGTGCAAATTGTACTCTGAGAGGAGCAGTTCGTGTTTTTTGAGGTTGTCTAAGTTGAATTTAATCCAAATTTTCCGACGAAATTCAGAGGTTAAATGCCCTCGTGGTTCGTGTCCGCATTCTTATCAGTAATAAATAAAACTGGAAAACTTTTGAATTGGGCAACCACACCCTATGTAAATGACATTAATTTAAATAACTCTTTAAAACTAAACTATTATCCAACTTTTTAGGCTTCCTCAGTGAACACTACCGAAAGGCCTCCTGAACAGTTTCGAAGAGACGCTCGCATAGCAGTCAGAAGCAAAACGACAAATTATAGACGAATGCAAAGGGCAAATGCAGAACGCTATCGTATCTCGACCCCTTTGCTTCCCACAACATTTGTCGTCGGATTTCGTGCCATGTTTGAAATAGATGACGAATCGCAACCGATGCTGATCCCAGAGGCAAACCAGAATCCAGTCCAAGTCTGATAGTGATGGAGAACTGACAGTGGATGCAACCGTCATCAGATTTCGTTCAGTCAGCTAATTGTGAATAGGATGCAAAGAGCTGTAAGGCTACAACCAAAGCTGTGCCATCCATGCAGAGATCCTAACCAATGCGTCACACCATGTCTTAGACTGAAGGATAAGAAGTCGTTGAAGAAAGACGCCATAATTACAGGTATATTTTTATCTGTGATTTGTATTAATGAATTTATTTACTGTAACACACTGTATCAAAGTAAATATTTGATGATGGTCAATGCAGAGGTCAATGATGCTGGTCAATGCAGAGGTCATAGAATCTATTATTTCTAGATATCTATAGATATCTATAGATATAATAGATATCTATTATTTCTATGGCAGAGGTTCAGATCCATTACCTGACTACTCCTCCTCTCGCAGACTTAATGCGCATTTGATTGGTTCATCAGCTATATTAAATGCAACTGATTAGCTAATGCATGGTCGCTACCATGTTGTGGAAATAAAAATCTGAACCTCTCGAGTATATCAGAATGTTGACAATCGAGGAGCAAGCAAACAAAGTACTTTGCTACCAAATATACTACTGTATATAATGAAAAGAATTCGCGTCATTTTGCCTGCTGGTTGACCAGCCATCTCATGCGTGAGGAATAATTGTCTGGATGTGTCACTTATGTGTTCTCTTATTTCTTTTATTTCAGATTCTCGTTGGTCGTGTTCCAAAGTACGTGGGGCCACCCTGAGGACGCCCAAATGCACAAAAAATTTAAACATGGCACATTTTCCTCAATTTCGCAACTTATTCAAATTTTTCACATTTCATTGTATTTGTAAAAAGCTCTTAACGAAATCGAAATGTTTGAAATTCGGAAGGTTTTGTCTGAGAGTTTGTTTATTTGAAAAATATTTGAAATGAAATTTTGAAGTTTACATCACTTTGGTATTTGGTCTAAACGCTAGGTAAAATCATGCCAGATGAGTGGCCGGCCATTCGTCGAGGTTCGGTGATACTTCGGCTCGGACTTTCCCGACCTACAGTCGAGTTGCCCTGATTGATTGTCGTGATCAACTAGCACAAATGTAAGTACTGGCCACACTTACATCTGTGCTTTTTGTTCGTGGCATGAGATCCGGGTAGCTCGCCTGTAGGCCTGGAAAGATCGAGCCAAAATACCACCAAACTTTGATTTGTGGCCAGTTTTTTGTCTGTATGGCTTTATCCAGCGTTTTCCCGTTATCATTTTGATATAGACTTTGGGATTTCGGTTTGGATATTTTTAATGTAAACATTCTTTGAGGTTTAATCTTTCATGAATTTCATAATTTTTGACTAGTTAATTGTGTTTCTCGCAGATACCATAATTGTATTTAAAAATGTTGACCAAAAAATTTCAACCTAACTAAAACGTCATTTGAGGTGCCGGACTGGAGGCCCATTGGTATTGGTGGCGGATATCGATGGATAAATAAGGATTATCGTGTACTACCAAATGTGAATACTGTGAATATTTATGGACATAAACACTAATGGATTACTGTGAACACTTACGGATCATTATGAACATTTGTGGATAAAACATATTCGACGATCGACGGTTACCTTCCAATGTACCTTCAACAGAACTGCGCAACGGTAACAAGACGACTGCCTCAAGGTTAGATTATTAGTCTGATAACAGGCAGTATTAAGCCTGTTATCAGGCAGCTGTAGTTAGCCTGCTATCAGGCAGTAGTTGGCCTGCTATCAGGCAGTAGTTGACCTGCTAACAGGTAGTATATCGGTAGGATTCGTACCCAGGACTCTAATTTGCATGTGTTCGTTGAAATCTCTGAGTTAAATTAATACAAAATTCCTGGCGGTCTATAGTTAGCAGTACATTTGCACGCAAGGTTGATTTTTATTCAGATACTTGCATGCTAATAAAATTGAGGTAAAATTTCGGTAATATCTGCAATCAAAAGTCAATCTTAAAGAGGATAACATTTGAGCTTTCGGTCACGTGGTTGTTGCATGCACTCGGTTCGGTTGTTGGTGAGTTTCAGTAAGTGTTGCAGTCCAGATGAAGGTCAACTGAGTGAATGTTGACACTTGTAAGAGCAATTTATTTTGTTCCAAAATTTAATTTTTGATCCAAATCACAAGACTACTCATAAAATAAAAAAAGGTGAACATTATTTTTCACTCTAGTAACTCGTATTGAAACCCACTAGATATTCGCGGTCTATTCGTGCCAATGTGCTCCTCTTTGTGTAAATGTACTGCTTAGGTGTCTGTGCATGGATAAACGCAGCGCGCAGCTAGTATTTAGAATAGACAGACAAGTAAAACCTTGCCAGGCTTAAATATTTTGCATGTATATATCTCCGTATGTTGGGTTAACGAATATGGTTAAGAAATATCATGAAATGATATCATGAAATGGTTAAGGTTAAATCTAACCCTATAACCTTAGCCTTAACCCATTACATGATTTGCATATTCGTGTACGTAATGTATGGATTTAGCCAAAATTTTGTTAGTTGAAAAGCTGGCATAGTTTTCCTTGGGTATAGGATAAATAAACTGGGTGCAAATGGTATCCATAGCTTAGAGGGTGCAAATGGTACCCGTAAGAAGATTGGTGGATATCGTGGTGGATTGTTCTTGGAAAAGAATCGATGCTCTGTCAAAACTCGTTTTCTCCGGGTATTCCGAGAACTGAGTTGACTGGCTGAATATTAGCTTAGGATTGTAACGGCACAATTATTGTAAAGATAAATAGTGTAGGCTTTATTAAACGGATAATAAAAAACGGTCTTGGAGAGTTCCCGTTGTGCATGTTTATCGCTGGTTTCGAACGTTAGTTTTCTGCCCCGAGTTCAATGAAAACAGTTCGCTACCAGAGATTAGGTCCCCTCTCTGTTATTGCGGCTCAACGGCTTCATGGAAGACTAACATAAGGCATGCAAACCTTACCCCTGTTTGTGGATACTCGCCAGGTGCGATGGCACACTAGGTTAAGTTAAGTTAAGCTAAGGGCATGACCGAGATTCCACTTTCAGGGGTTTCCTTTGCAGGTTTTTGAAAGGTGGTACTGCGCACGCGCACTAGCTAGAAAGGTCAGGCAGCTAGAAATAGGGTGCGTTTTGCATGTTTGTATACTATAGGTTTATAAGTTATTACTGTAAGGTGTCTGGTTGTTTTGTGTAGCACAAAGCAAACACGTATTTTCACCATGCTTGCGTCATTAACTTACTTTAAAGTGTTTAATTTAACAGGAAAATGGTTTACATTTTCCTGCTGAAAAATACTTTATAGTAACCAAATCAAAGTGGCAAGAAATAAAAAAAAATTGCGAGAAAAAATAAAAACTCAAAAGTGCAAAGCCACTTTGAAGATAAGCAACAATACCCAAGAATATATACTCGTTTGCAGAAAAAAACAACAAAAAAGAAAATAGGTTTTCTGCCTAAAATATCTTGGATTAGGGGCTTATAACGATAAGAAACGTAGTTCTTGCTCCAACATGGAGACAGGCTCGTTTCTTTAGGTTGCCAATGCATTGCACGCACGCTTTATAAGTCCTATACCATAGGTTATCAGTTAAAGACCGCCAGGAAAATAGATATGGGTGTTTTCGTGTGTTGCTTTGTTGACGGACAAATATTTTAAAAGGACTTTCTTTACTTGAATTTCGACACTTAAAGTTTGTCTTCAAACATAGCCGCCATGAAAACACTCGGCAGATGAAGTTTATGAATGGTCACTGTAGAAACGTAGAATGTTCGCCATGTTTCATTTCGCGTTGCTTGCTTACTTCATTCATTCATAAGCTTGGTCGAACGCAGCTAATTAACATAAGCGGCGCACGCGAACTGCTGCAACGCGGAGTACAGTCATTGAGTGTACTCCATGCGCAAATAGTGACGTGTGCTCTAGACTTGAAACAAGTCTGGCTTTGAAAAAAGAAATTAAGGTGCATGTTGATTAGAATTAAGTGCGCAAAGTTTCATGCTATTTAAAATTAACTGCGCTCAACTGCATGCTTAGTGAAATTAGGGGCATGAATTTCAGTGCGTGCTAACTTAGTAAAATTAGGGGCATGAATTTCAGTGCATGCTCATTAAAATTAAGTGCGCGCGTATGCACTAGTACTCGCTATTTTCTGCGCGCGGTAAAGCAAGCGAAATGCGCGAAAACCAAAATGTAGAAATGCACACATCGTATTTATACTAAATGTATCCAAGTGTCCTAACAGCTTTTACAATGGCAGACTGCCGTAAAATATGTTGGACAATTGGATTCATTTGCTACGTACTTCGTCCTGAATATATTTTAAATATTTTCAGGTTTCAAGATAAAGATAAATATTTCTTACGAGGAACAATTTGTTCCCAAAAAGGACTATTTATTGTGCGTAATATATTTGGACTAAATTTTTAGTCTACAATCGTCTTTTTGAACCACACGTGAAGGATTTTTCGACGATGAATTTTTGGAAAGACTTTACATTTTTCGGTAGGTATTGGTAGTAGGTATTGTATATTTAACATAGGTATTTCGGTTATTCATAGGCGCGAGGGCTTCCCCCGGGTTTTTCGGTATTCGGTACACATAATCACCAGAGGTTTTTTCACCGGATCTCGCCATCCACAGAAAATTTCCATGGAGACTTCTGGTTTTTTCCTCTCTTGATTATTTCTTTTCGTTCGGCAAAAATTTACAAAAAATCCAAAACAAAAAAAACAGTGTCCGTGTTCGGGACGAATTTAGTACTGTGTTCCTAATAGATAGAATAACATTTCTTGCATTATCAAGACTCGTGTTGCCTCGTGTATAGTAACACATTGGTCAGCGCACGTACTTCACACCACTGCATGAAACATGGTTTAAATTCTTTAGAATATGCAGGTGTTGAGCATATTAAATTTGTCTCCGTACTTCCGTAGTTGCAATTTCAAATACTGTACACCAAATCAAAATGTTACTTCATTTTATTCAAAACATCTAAGACATCACCAAAGATCGCTCCCGATAGTTCAAACATAGATTTTAAATTGGTATAAAAGTTTCTTACAGTATATTTCTCAAAGTATATTTCTCATTCAAATATATTTTTCAAATTAACATAAACAATTAAAACACCACAGAAACACTTATTTGCGTAATATCAAACCGAAGAAACATCGTTTTGAAATGAAATACTTTCCTGATACACAAATCTTCAGTAATAAATTGAAATTGTTCGACAACCTGTATGCCAACACCACGACATAACTAATTACACACCGATCCAAGGTCTTGATATTTACAGTACTCATTCGTGTCTGGGTTGAATTCCCAGAACACTGCAATTCTGCAAAGTTTTGTCCAGAAAATAATAACTATACTTACATATGGGGGCGGCCCAAGACATGTACTAGACCTATTTTTTTGTTTAACTACAGTTCAGCGTTGCCAATTGTAATTTTGTAAAAATCCCAAGTAACTATACCCTGGATTCCAGAGCCTTCGACAGTAAATAATAAATTGAAATGTCGCGAAAGCTCTGGTTCAACGGGGCGATTCTTTGATTAAACCGCGCCAATCACAAAACAGAATTAGTGGTTTAATCAAAGAATCCCCCGTTGAACCAGAGTCTTCGCGACATTTCAATTTATTATTTACTATCGAAGTCTCTGGAATCCAGGGTAAAGTAACTAAGTAAGCTCCCAAAATATCCTAAGATTCCCTAAAAATTCCCGATATTCCCACTTTTTTATGTCATTTAATTTAAGTGGTTTTCGCGCCAATTTCGGGTAGGATAGCTTCATACGTCATGTTGTAGAAACGAAATCTGACATCAAATATACAGCTCAATATATAGAGTATATATGAATACTAGCGGACGAACCCTGGATTTTTAGCAAAATTGTTTATTGGTCAATTTTACCAAAAAATCGATTTCTAAATTTCAAACTTCCCTTTCTCAAAAAATCCCTAGCCTGCGTGTAGTCAGGCTGCACGCAGGCTAAAAATCCCCTAGCCTGCGTGCAGGCCCTTGGGCCTGCACGCAGGCTAAAAATCCCCCAAAATCCCGAGATTGACTTTTAAAAATATAAATCCCAACTGCTTCAAAAATCCCGAGATTTCGGGATAAAATCTCGAACTTGGCAACGCTGAACCCCTTCAAAAGGGGGCAAATACCCTAGGGATGTTTTATTCAAATAATTTCGTGATACTTTCATCTTATTAACGCCTTACACGTTTGAAAATTTAACTCTGCAAAACTAAAGCTTTTTTGTCTTTTTTGAAACGTATTATTGGAGTATTCGGGCAAGTTTTACCATTCAGAGATTTACAAACTAATATTGAAATTATAAAAAACAGTTTCGTGTATACGCGCATTCACTAATGAGTAATGACAACTTATAAGCCATACATTTTCCGATAACGACAAAACGCTTGTGTAGCCTTTAGTCGCTCTCAGTGACTAATATTTTTTTGAGGGGGGGGGGCAAATGGCGGGGGGGGAATAATTGGGGGGGGGGCATTTGCCCCCCCTGGCGCCGCCACTGCCCTTACGTTTTTATACCGCTTTTTGAAAGATAGGCAAAGCAAATAAATGTTAGCCTTTTACGTTTTCGTGAGAGTACAGTTTTATGATTTGAAAGATGGTGCAAAGATTGGCATAAAAGTTGAAAACGAGGGGAAATGGGGGAAAAGGAAAGTTCGTCCATTTTTTGACACTTAATATATAAAGTGGAGCTACTTTGCGTGCAAATAAAGTAACCGCTCAGGTCTTGAATTTTTGGGGACTTCATTTTTTTTAAATAAAATTTGGTGATGAGGATTATGTAGATATAAGTATAGTTATCTGAATAGATCTGGTAGTCGAGTGGTAGTCTCCAGGTGTTGCATGAGGAAGAAGTACGAATCAATCACTGCTGTAGTCGAAACCATTTTAATTAATTCCACCCGAGACGAGAAAGAGTTAAGTAGAATAAAAAAAGGAGTTACTGCAAGTGTAGGCGAGATGGTCTAACGGTAAAGACAAATTTATATTTAAACATATTTAATCGTTTGCCCCGTGAGAAGCTACGTTTGATTCCTGGTTGTGTCGAAATCATTTTGGGCAGGGAAAGGTTCGAAACATAATTGAATTAACTTTCACGTCTTGTCGATACATCTAGTGATGCACGAATAAGGCATCGACAGAAGGCAGAGGACCGTAGATTCCAAAAATACAATTTTCAGTCTGGCCCAAATTCAAGTTCCTTCTACAGGAGCCTTCAAATTCAATAGAACACAAGGTTCGAAATAGCATAGTATTATTTTAAACTTTTAGCTCTTTTTCGATTATTCAGCTGAAAAAATCTGCTTTTTATCTTCACGTTAGTAAGGTACCTTGTCCTCAGTTAGTGAGGAACCTTGTTCTCAGTTAGTGAGGAACCTTGTCCTCAGTCAGTGAAGAACTTGTCCTCACTTGAAAAATAGAAAAACAAACGTATTGGGTTACCTGTTCCCTGTCTTGGGCTCTCTGTGTCCTCGGCACAGATAGCCCAAGACGTTTGTTTTTCCATTTTTCTCTATTGTCGTCAGTTAGTAAGGTACCTTGTCCTCAGTTAGTGAGGAACCTTGTTCTCAGTTAGTGAGGAACCTTGTCCTCAGTTAGTGAGGAACCTTCTCCTCAGTCAGTGAGGACCTTGTCCTCACTTGAAAAATAGAAAAACAAACGTTTTGGCTTACCTGTTCCCTGTCTTGGCCTACCTGTGTCCTCGTCACAGATAGCCCAAGACGTTTGTTTTTCTATTTTTCTCTATTGTCCTCAGTTAGTAAGGTACCTTGTCCTCAGTTAGTGAGGAACCTTGTTCTCAGTTAGTGAGGAACCTTGTCCTCAGTTAGTGAGGAACCTTGTCCTCAGTCAGTGAGGACCTTGCCCTCACTTGAAAAATAGAAAAACAAACGTTTTGGGTTACTGTTCCCTGTCATGGGCTACCTGTGTCCTCGGCACAGATAGCCCAAGACGTTTGCTTTTCTATTTTTCTCCCTTGTCCTCAGTTAGTAAGGTACCTTGTCCTCAGTTAGTGAGGAACCTTGTTCTCAGTTAGTGAGGAACCTTGTCCTCAGTTAGTGAGGAACCTTCTCCTCAGTCAGTGAGGACCTTGTCCTCACTTGAAAAATAGAAAAACAAACGTTTTGGCTTACCTGTTCCCTGTCTTGGCCTACCTGTGTCCTCGTCACAGATAGCCCAAGACGTTTGTTTTTCTATTTTTCTCTATTGTCCTCAGTTAGTAAGGTACCTTGTCCTCAGTT